CTTTAAACATTGATGTCAACTGCTTGACCTCCTTCCTCCTTCCAGAGGAAGACTAACCCCTTGCAAAGTTTGAAAGGTTCTGTGCTAATTCATGCTGCTCCAGATTTGGGGAGTTCATCGGTTTTTCTGGTGGAGGACTGAATTCTTCACTAGATTTTAGGTCAAAATGTTTGTAATCCTGTAGTTTTGAATTTATATTAGGTCAGACCCACCAGGGTGTTACCTACTGAGACTTCAGCCGCACACACTGTGTAGCACTGGGTGGTTTGTGCTGAGTGTTTGCTTTTTTAAATGTATCTGCCTCTCCCTCTTCAACTCATCCCACCCCAGGCCTGACAGATCCTACAGGTTCAAGACTTACAGCAGTGTTGCTTAACCAGACATAGGGGGAGAAAAAAACAACTTTTAAAAAATGTGTGTAATTATGCCCTGCCTCTAGATTCTGTATCGGGGGTAGAACTTTGGCATATATATATATATCCATCCAGAGCCTTGTCACTGAATCGTGTCCCCAGCTCCTTTTGGGGGGGCCGGGGTGGGGGCAGGGTTTTGCTGTGTAGTTCAGGCTGACCTTTGAACTCACTGTGTGGCCTCTGCTGGCCTCAAACTCTTTGCAGTCTTGCCTCAGCCTCCCAAGTGTTCTGATTACAGATATTTGCTGCTACTCCTGGCCTTTGTGTGTGTGTGTGATGGGATCCTGTTAAGCTGTGATCTTCCTGTCTCCTGTCTCAGACTTCAGAATTCAGGATCACAAGGGCTGGGGATATAGCTCAGCAGCATAAGTGCCTGCCTGGCAAGCGCAAGGTCCTGTGTTCGATCCCCAGTACCTTAAAAAAAAAAAAGCAGGATCACAGGTATATGCCACCATGCTTGGCTGATTTTTATTATTTATTTTGATAAATAGTTCACCGAGTGAACCGAAGATCTTTATTTTGTGAAAAACAAATAGTACCAAAGTACTATATGGTGTCCATAATTCACTGCAAAAATAATTGCTCTGATTTTTTGTCATAGATGATTATGTATCTCTATTTAAGAGGAAAAATACTGAGTTTAAAAGGGGCTAGGAGTGGGACTGGGGATTTAGGTCAATGGTAGAATGCTTGCTTAGCAAGCCGGAGCCCTGGATTAGGTCCTTGGCACCAGAAGCAAAAAAATAAACCTCCCCTAAAAGGGGCTAGGAGACGGTTTTTTTTTTTTTTTTTTTTTTTTGTTTTTGTTTTTTTTTTTTTTTTTTTAAAGAAAATTAATTTACTGGCTCCCTCAGATAGCAGTCTCTCTCATTTCAAAAGTGTGAGTTTTGTGTTTCAACCCTGTTCCCTCACCAGCTGGAGAGAGAGGTGGCGGTCAGATGTGGCCTCTGCACTGTGGTTGGAGAAAGACTTGTACCACTAGATGTGTGCCCTTGAGCAAGTTAGGTCACTCCTCTGCTCCTGGTCTCTGCCTCTGTAAAAGGGAATCGCAGTAGACTGCCTGCTGGGGCTGTCGGATAATTGGTACTTGCAAATCACTTTGAGCAATGCCTGCCACAACGTAAATGTATCACAGGTGCTGGCTAAGCTGGGAGCTGGCACACACCTACTGTCCCAGCCAGCACTCATGAGACTGAGGCAAGAGCATCTCCTGACTCCATGAGTTTGATGTAAGCCTGGGCAATATGGCAGGAGTCATTCCCCCTAAAACAAATAAGTGCTTGTTAAATAACATGATTTTTGGTTTGTTTTTTGAGACAGGGTCTCCTTTGTATTTGTAGTTCAGGTTGACTTTAAACTTGCAGGGCTCTTAACTGCCTTGTCTTCCCAGTGTTGGGATTACAGGCATGCACCACCCCACCTGGCTAAAAATGGGTACCATCTAGTTGATAGTGTTAGAAACTGATGATTAAATGATGAACTAGACAAGAAAACTATGTAAGACAGTCAGTGTGAAAACTAGGGCCAGTGCTGGACACTCAGTGGTACTGGCTGGGGAGATGTTCTCACAACCTTGAGGTGTCAGCATCTGTGTTTCCTGTTCACAGGCTCAGAAATTGAGGATTAGGTGGTTATGCCTGCCCAAGGCCACACCCTTAATAAGTGGTGACAGCCACTAAGATCTGAGGTCTGCACCTTACCTGCATGTGTGTGGTGCGCAACTGCAGGAATCTCTTTCCCACGCACGTGGGAGTCTTTTGAAAGAGTGAGCTGAGCTTGCCCTTCTGTGTGACACCTGGAGAGGTGTGAAGACTTCTGGGTGGAAGTAGTGGAGCCAGGGCAGCTGCTCCTGACTGGCTGTGACACCTGTCAGATCAGGCGGCTTAATGTCGGAAAAGTTGGTTTTGTTATTTTTTCCCTTCTAATCAGTTGCTACTGTGGGGGTAAATTTTATCAATTCAGAATTTCTGGTGCTCTTTTTGATAAGTATGGACACAGTGCTACTAAAGCTTGTATTTAAATTGTTTTGGTCATACTTTTCTTCTGAAAGCTCATACCCTCCAATATCTGCTAGTGAGAAGAAAACTTACAGTTGATATTAGTATGATGTGTTTCAGGATGAAATATTTTTGTATCAATACAAGATTTTGTTTCCATTTTGTTCTGTGGTGCCAAGAATCTAACTGGGGTCTCTGGGTTTGTGTCATTGAGCCGCAGGCCAGCCCAGACGTTTTTGGAATGATTTAGGAAGTGTTAAGAGGACAGCTTCTTAAGAGGGGCTGTGTGGTATCAGGGAAGGGACCACTTCAGCTCTCACCCAGAGGACTTCTCAGGCCAGGAAGCTGGGCCCTGTCATGGACATGTCGTGTGTCCAGTCTGTCCATTCCACACTGCTGCTGCTGCCTCTCTCACCTCTGGCCCCTCCTCGCAGACAGGAGTGGAAATGCTGGGTTTTAAAAACCTTCCCTCTGCTGCAAATCGGTTGTATAATCTCTAGGTTTTTCAAACGTAATACTTATTCATTGGAAATGCGTATAGTATAGTGTTGTCTATGTATTGTGTTAAGCAAAGCAAAACAAAAAAGACACCTTTTTTAAATTTAAAAAGTACTTGTATAACATTCTCAATTTATAGTGATAAAAGGTTATCTTTAGCAAATTTGAATCTGCAGCATATTACAACTTAATGGCGTAAAATGCAAACCACAAAGTCAGGGTTTTACCAAGTGTCTGAGCTGACCTTGCTCTTGAATATGCCTGCCTCAGCTTCATGAAAGTTGCTGGAATTCCAAGTGTATGCATTTCTTTATGAACATAGATTTTGGTATTTCTTTACCGACAGCTTAGGGGGAAGCATAGGGTATCCGGTTATACACTTGGTTCTGTATTGAAGTACTAGTTTCTCACTCATTTGTTTGTTTTCAGACAGAGTCTTGCATTGTAGTTCAGGCTGCCTTAACCCCATGGCAGTCCCCTGCTTTAACCCTTTTAGTGCTGGAATTACAGATGTGCACAACACACCTGATATGGGATAGAATACTAGTTTCTCTTAATAGGTTTATGTTGTGTGTGTCCCAAGGGTAAAATGAATTTGGTTTGTTGGAATCTACTTAACTTTCTCTGGTTGTTGTGCTTTTTGTTTTTTGGTACTGGGAATTTAGCTCAGGACTTTGCCCTTGCCAGGCAGGCACTTGTGCTGCTGAGCTATATCCCTGGCCCTAGGGTGCTGGGGTTTTTTTGTTTTGTTTTGGTTTTTTTGTTTGTTTGTTTGTTTCCAGTACCTGAGATCAAACTTGGGACCTTGCACTTGCCAGGTAGGCTCTTAAGCTGCTGAGCTATCTCCCCAGCCTCGGGTGCTGTGTGTTTTATTTTTTGTATTTTTAGGGAAGGGTCTACAGGGTGTTCAGGGTCTCACTACTAACTAGATCAGACTTGTAGTGAACTGCCTGTTTTATAGTCTCCCAAGAGCTGGGATTACAGGCGGGTCGCACCACGCCCTGTCTCAATTCCCATCTCAGTGTGCCCCTGGGGGCGGGGCAGGCCTGGGATCAACACCCCAACCCCCCCACCCAGGCGCCTTAATCTGCTGAGCTATTTGGCCGGCCCTACAGGTGCTATGTTTTAAATGAAAAGTGGAATGATGTTTCTCTAAGGATGCTTGAGTCACATTGACACAGAGTGATAGATGAGGTTGCAGGTGTGTAAATGCCTGTAGGGTAGGTGTGCACACTGAGAGTGATGGGAGGCTGCAAGTGTATAAATGTTTTTGGAAGTTTGTGCACAGACTTGTAGCAGTGGCAAGTGAGGATGATAGCATTTCTGGACAGTTCACAATGGTGGCCAAAAATGTTTGGCTTTAGAACTAGATGTACTGATTTTGGTAAATAAATTGTGATTTGTCAGAGTGCTGGTTTTATGTCATGGTGCTGAGATTACATTTGCTGCTAGGCATCTTGATTTGGGTTGGTGATAAGCAAGAGAGGGAATTTTGAGCAAGGTCCAACCCTAAAGAGCCTTGGAGCCTCCCTCTGCCCTGACTTCTTGGAAAGAACAGCCCCACCTGAACAGGTGGGAGGTGCATCTCAGGCCCTGGACTGCAAGCAGGTTAGATGGAGCCACTGTGCTCTGGGATGGTCTTGAAATGGGGTGCAGTGCTTACGGGTTCATGGCTGTCCTTGCCACACCATTCACTGGGCTCTGAGAGATAAAAGCTGATCAAGCACTTAAGTACCGGTTTAGAACCAGAGGGAAAAGTGCGCTACACCCCCTTCAGTTCTCAGTCTGTCTGCATTTGGTTATGTTGACGTGTGGAGTTGAGGTGGAAATTGATGTATAACTCCAACCCCTGAATATTTAGGAGTAAAGTACTAAATATCTGTGGACCAGGTTGGTAAACCAGTGGGATGAATTTGGAAGAGTGCCCACAAGGGACAGCACAACATGTCACCAACCAGCCTGCATCATCCACATCCAGTACCTCATAGATACTCTGGTAGAACCCATTACTGCTATAGCTATAGAAAATAGAAACACCTAGTTGTACTTCAAACAAATATTTGGTTCTCTTTGTCTTTCCTGGTATTAGCTGGCCTCACATATGGTGCCTCAGCAGTGTTTAAGGTGAAAGACAGCACTGGGAAAACTTGCATAATGGCCAACTTCTCCGCTGTCTTCTGGACCAGCTATGCGACCGAGCATGGTTTTACGGTATGTGTTACTGCTGTTCATGCTTTGCCCCCTGAGACTGTGCCTCTGTGTGTGTGTGTGTGTGTGTGTGTGTGTGTGTGTGTGTGTTAAAGTTTCAAGTACCTCTTTGAAAACTGATCCCAGCTTAGTGAGGCTCTTGTTCCCCAAGATCCTTCCAGGGTCATCAGGAGTCTCTGTTGTTACTTGTGCCATGGCTGTGCTGACAGCATGCAGGCTGCCTTGTGCTGTGACTTGCACTGTCTCACCCTGCACCATTTATTATCATCAAAGCAGTACTCACAATTAATTAGGCTCCTTCTTGGCTGTTTTAGGGTCCTTTTTTGTGCCTAACGAACAGTGCCTTGTTTTGATCTGTTGTACTTTTTTTTAGATCAGTTGTTATACTCCAGGAAGTAGATGATGGTGTAGCTGTGCTGCTTGGATTGAAATGTTTGTGCGTCTGCTAAAACAACTTTAGATGACTTAAGGTTTTTTTTATCACCTAGGTTGTTTTTGTTTTTGTTTTTTGGGGTTTTTTTTTGGCAGAACTGGGGGTTAAACTCAAGCCCTTGAGCTTGCCAGGGAAGTGCTTATTGCGCTGAGCCATCTCCCTAGCCCTCTCCTAGATTTTTAACAAATAGGTAGCAGGTATGTGTTGTATTTGTTCCTTAACCACCTGTTAGTATTATCTAACAAATGCACACTGTTTAATACGTTCACTTTGAAGTGCATCCCTGAGCCATGCTGTGTTTTTGGTTCTTGGTGGATATTGCCATCCTGTACACCTCCATGTCAGGCAGGGCACACAGCCTTCATAGACTGGGGCAGTTGAAGCAGTGATGTCCTGTGTGTGCTGGCCTTTGTGCAGTGCTGGGCCCTTTAAACTCATCTGCACTAGTCTCATGTAAATGTGTCTGTGACAGCTGAAGAAAATTAGGCTGTTTGTAGAGGTGTCTGAAGTTATAGCTACTTGTCCAAGTACTTTTATTTTTATAGTCTACTTCCCCTTTTCTGTATTTACATTTGGTGGTCAGATTTTCAGAAGACAGCCTGCTATAGTCTTGACCCTGATGCAGTCATCTGGGTGCATTTGTGAGCAGTATCGTTTTATAGCACATCTTTGACATCTGCTGTAGTTCTGTGTCACATTCCTGTGTGGCCTTCCTGTGTTGCTTGCTTAATAGTCCACTTCACTGTATTGGACACCAGGTGATTTTCCAAATTCAGACAGTTTGTAATAAACACCTTTGCTTACCAAGATCTATGCCCCTCTCCTCTCTGTGCTGGGGATTAAGCCCAGGGCCTTTGCACTGAGCTGGATTCTCAGCCTTTTAAACTTTTTTTTAAATTTGTAGACCGTGTATCACTAAACAGTCCAGGTTGAGCTCAAACTTGCAATCCTTCTGCCTTGGCCTCCCAGAGCGCTAAGATTATAGACATTTAGATAAAATTTCTATAGCAAAAAAATAGTGACAATTTTCTTCAACTTTTAAAAAATGTGTAACTGGCCATGACACCCAGTATAGATTAAGTTAGTTTAGTTTTTTGTTTTGTTTTTTTTTTAATTTTTATTTATTTGTGTGTGTGTGTGTGTGTGTGTGTGTGTGTGGCCAGCTCAGCCCACCAGGGAGCGGGGCTGGCTGGCATGTGGTGCTGGGGGATTGAACCGCGGTCCCTGTGCTTTGCTAAGTTTGTTCTAAGTAGGTGCTTTAGACCACTGAGCCATCTCACCAGCCCAAGTTAGTTTAGTTTTGTTTTGTTTTATTCTAAAGATACTGTTTTATTTTTCAGAGCGATATGTTTTGGCAGAAAGGACTTAGTTGAAAATTTTGGTGCACATATTAGCAACTAAAAATAAAGACAAAGTGTCAGAAATCAAGAGTTGTTCTTGAACAATTCTTTTCTACGCTAAGGAATGTTTAATGAATTAGAGGTAAATGGTGAAAGGGAAGTCAGAAAAATGTAGTTTATAAACTTTCTACATGAGAACTAGTATACATTTTAAAAACAGAATAAAGGAACTTACAAAACCTTTTAATATTCTAAATCTACTAATTTTTAGGGAAGCCAAATTGGTAATTTTATGATAATGAAATGCACAAACATCTTCAGCAAGATATACTAATACCTTAGATCACAAACACTTATGTTTGCAAACAAATCAGTTTGGAAACAGAGGTGTTTGCTTCCATTTGCAAACTGCATTAAGTGACAAACGTGAATCTAGTCTTTTCCCCCACACAAATACAAATGCACCCATCCTCTCCAAAACTGTAAAACAAATTAAGTTTGTAAACTGAGGTTCTACTGTATTACAAAATCACTTACTTACCTAGGGATATTAAATAAGTAATCAATTAAGGGATTCATGAACCTTTATCCTATGTAAAATACTAAACTTTGCAAGTTGTAAAGCTTTAATGGGAAATATTTTAAAAGTATTTTACCTAATGTCAAGTGATTTTGGAAGACTGAATCTCTTAAGAGCAAAAGCATTAACATAAGTACGAGTATACATACAGAAATGTACAGTCTTTGGGAAAGGAGTCTTCAGATGATGTAGAAGGAAATGTACTTGTCTTATTTTCCTGTTCATTCTGAGTCACACAAATATGATGCTTTTTCAGTGTTGAATTTTTACTTATAGTTGCATCATTCACTAGAATCATTGCTTGGATGTATTCTTTATTTGTGGCAGATCCATCTTTGATCTTTTGTTTCAGAGACTGCAGCACATTTTGTACGTTTTCAAATATGAAGTCCACTTTTCCATCATCTTCTAGCTCCATCCAGAAACTTCTTGCATCACCATTTTTTTCTCCCATCTTTTGGTGTTGCTTGTAGGTATAAAATTCTTCAAAATTAAGTTTATTGAGACCGAATGATATGAATCACACTGGTGAGAGTATAACTGTAATGCAACAATTGTCTCCAAAATCTGCAGTCTTCAGAGAAAATAAATTATGCCATTTTAAACACAACACAATCTTCTTTGAGACTTGAAACTGTGGTTGAAGAAACTTTCAAGATGGACCAACAACAGTATCTTTTTAAAATGAACTCCATCTTTTGGTCCACAAATGCATGAGACATTCTCAGCCCGGGAATGGGAAGCGCACAGCCTTCAACCTCCAGGCTCCCCAGTAATACCATCACTAAATGGAAGGAGTCAGCGGCCGCGCGCCGCATCCAGGCCCGCCCCGGACTTCCACTGTAACACTTCCTAGTCGGCCACGCCTCACCTGCTCTCCAGTTAGTTTAGTTTTGATTCTGGTGTAAATTAAAAGTTATTTTAGCTTGATCCCCAGCCTGCTGTGCGGGCCCCACCCCTGGGGCACTCTGAGAGGGCAAATGAGACTGGGCGTGGTAGCACTCGCCTATAATCCCAGCACTTGGGAGGCTGTAAACAGGAGAATCACTACAAGTCTGATCTAGTAGTGAGACCTTGAACACCTGCCTGTTTACAGCCTCCCAAGAGCTGGGATTACAGGCACATGCCACCACACCCAGTCGCCATTGCTATTTCAGCTAGCTCCAGGGGTGGGACTGGCACAGCAGGCCTGGGGATTGAATCCCCAGCCCCTGTACCTGCTTGCTGGGGCTTTAATCTGCTGAGCTATTTGGCTGGCCCATTATTTTGTCTTGAAAGAGAAAGAGTCTTGCTGTGTAGTTCAGTTTGGCCTTGGACTTGTGTAACCTACATTGGCTTCCAACTCAAAATCTTCCTGTGTTAGTTTTCCACATGCAAGGATTCTGGGCGTGCAACACACAAGGCTTGGCAGTGTGAACTGTGAATGATGAAGTCACTTTTCTCTCAGACTTGATTTTCAGTCTGTTGCTGACATGCGATACTGACTTTTTTTGTGGGTTTTGTTAGTTACATTAAAAATGCATATTTTAGCCCAGTGTGGTGGCGTATGCCTGTAATCCCAGAACTTGGGAGGCTGAGGCAGGAGAATCGTTGCAAGCTTGAGACCAACTGGGCTACAAAGTGAGCTCAAGGCCAGCCTGAACTGCATAGTGAGACCCTGTCTCAAAAAGGAGGAAAAAAATGCGTATTTTATGGTGGTATAAGGAAAGTCTAGCTCCAGCTATTTATTGCCTACTTAAGAATGTCAGAGGAGGAGAGTTGGGATGGTTCCAGTGCCCCGAGAGAATAGTTGATGAGAAGGAAGTGCTGCTTGTCCTGATTTGATCATCACATGTTATATGCATGTATCAAGTTATTCTGCACAGAACAAATTTGAACACTGTATTAAATAAAAACTTACTGTGAAGTGATACCTTAAAACTTTAACTGGGGGCCGGGGAGATGGCTCAGTGGAATAAGCGCTTCCCTGGCAAGTGCAAGGGCCTGAGTTCAATCCCCGGTTCCGCCAAAAAAATAAATAAATAAAACTTTATCTGAAATGGAGCTGAAGTTTCTATCAGCCTTGTTAAAGGTAAATGTTCCTGTGGCTTTTTTTGTGTGTGTGTGTGTGTGTGTGTGGCACCCAGGGTTGAACTCAGGACCTTGCACTTCCCAGCCAAGCGGTTATTCTACTGAGCTATCTCCCCAGCCCCCACTCTTGTGGCATTTCTATTCCTCAAGGGGTTCTCAAATTATATGTTCTAGAATGTGACCTTTGACCTGCCCCATTCTGCACGAGTACTGAACAGCAGCTTCTGTCAGAAAGGCAATGCCTCCGAGTCCAGGCTTATCATCGCCTTTGGAGATGGAAATTCACTGACCCTGCAGTTCACACGGAACACCACCCGCTACCGAGTCCAGCTGCTGAGCTTTGTGTACAACTTGACAGACACGCACATCTTCCCCAATTCGAGCTCCAGGGGTGAGAACCAGGGCTGCACATGGGGCAGGGAAACCTGAGTTGAAGGGCAGCTGAGCTCGCTGGGAAGCAAGCATTATGAGAAGTTCAGTTGTATGTGGTTTTTGTTGTTATTGTTGTTGTTTGGTTGGGTTTTTGGTGATGTTTTGTTCTTGATGCAGAAGTCAAGACTGAGAACTCCACGACTGACATTCTGGCAGACCTAGACAAAAAGTACCGCTGTGTCAGCACTACCCAAGTGCACATGAAGAATGTGACTATCAGGCTGTCTGATACCACCATCCAGGCCTACCTGTCCAACAGCACCTTCAGCAAGGAAGGTGAGATGCTGAACTTACTACAGTGGCCCACCATGGCTGTGCGGCTCACCTGAGTCCCAGCACCTGGCATACTGAGCAGGAGGTGGTTCATAGCAGATGTCTGTAGAACTGGCCTTGGAGGGTGGAGGTAAGCACAAACTGGTCAGCATGAGCTAGGCCCAGACAGATACTACCTGCCTGTACTCACCTGCAGGCCTAGGAAGGAAGCAGGCCTGGAGCCAGGAGTGGGTAGAGATGAGGTGGGAGTGCAGCTTCTGAGACAAGGCAGCTGAGATGACATGGACATCAGCTAGCTTACAGTGTACATGGAGTTTTTAAGAAAGACAGAGAAGCAGAGTAGTAGGCACCTTTCCTGTGGGGACTGTCCTGGGTTGGGCACTTGGGAACAGGCTCCAAGCTGGCTCCCCTCTGCAGTCCAGATAGTCCTGGGATCGAGGCAGAAGAGCAGCCTTTCTGAGGAGGTCTTGACCCAGGCCTCTACCCCTGTACCAGCCAGTGAGATCAGGACCAGAAGGACAGGGTCCAGGCTGCCTCCTTACCCTGGCAGTGACAAAGTGGTCAAGTTGTTGCTTTTTTTACTTGTAAAATAAGTACAATAGTCTGGCTTTGAAGGTTGTTGGGATCAAAAGGGAAATGTAAGTATGAGAAGTTTTTATCTCGGTACCTGGCAGAGAATAGCAAATCTTTTTTTCTTTGTGGTGGTAGGAATTGAACCCAGGAATTCCATTCTCCTGAGTTATATCCCTGGTCTTTAATTTTATTTTCCTGGCAAGAATTTTCTTATTAGTAATTTTTAAAAAAAACAAAACTGATGAAAGAAGAAACCATCAAACTGCTCGGAGAGTGGTGGTACATGCTTGTAATTCTACCTAGTAAGCAGGAGGATTGCAAGTTTCAGGTTAGCCTGGGCAAAATAAGACCGTACCTGAGAGAGAGTGCTGGGGCAGGGAGATAGCAGAGTAATGCTGGCCTGCCCTATGCAGGACCCTGGGTCCAATCCCTAGTACCTCAGCAAGGGTGGTGGAAAGTTCTCAAATCTTCTATTGGGTCAGAAACCGTGGCATTTAGGCTGGGTGTGGTGGCACACACTATATTCCCTGCACTTCGGAGGCTGAGGTAGGAGGATCGAAGTGAGTTCAAAGCCAGCATAGGCTACAGAGTGATTTTTTTTTTTCTTCTTTTTAATTTTATACATTTGGTACAGGGTCTCACTATGCAGCTTGGACTGGACTTGTCTGTTAGTGAATTTAGAAGAGTGTGGGAGCTAAGGCTCATCTGGAAGCCCCACTGAGTATCTGTAGCAGCTGTGATGTTCCCCTCTTGCTCATTGACTGGAGGAAGCAGGTTGGGCTGTGGTCAGAGGCACTCCTGTCCTGTGTTGTGTCTCAGGGAGGAGCCTGTGGCTTTGGAAAGCCATCTTGTGGCTGGGCAACACCTTAACAGTCACCTTACCTCTGGGCCTCCATTGCTAGCGATCTTCAGCACCAGCAGAGCCAGGCCTGGGGTGCAGCCCAACAGAGCTTGTGCCTCACTATCTAGAGCCCTGCCTTCAGTCTCCAGCACCAAGAGAAAACACCAAGGAGGCAGACCCTTATAGGACTCCTTGCTAACTGCGCCCTTTTTTTCAGAAGTATATCTCCACCTCTCTTTTTGTTTGATTGATTGATGGATTTGGTACAGGGTCTCACTGCGCAGCTTGGACTTGTAGTGATCCTCCTGTTTTCAGTCTCCCCAACAATGGGATTAAGGCATGTGCCACCATGCCTGAACTTGGTGGCTTGCTCAGCTCACCTGGGAAGAGGATCAAACCCTGGTTCCTGCGCTTGCCTAAGCAGGTGCTTAATCTGCTGAGCTAGCTCGCCAGTGGGCCACCTTTAGATTTGAAGTATCAAACCCACAGTGCCACAGTAGCATAGACTGCTTCAAAACACTTGACTTCTGGCAAAATCGAGTAGTTTCTTCTCCATTTTCTCTTTATTCTTAGGGGTCTTAGGCATTTCTGTGGTCTTAATTTGTCTTTTCTTAGTTTTATTTTGTATTTTGTGCAGGGCCTTGCTACACAGTTTTCAAGCCTCCCAGCGCTGGGATTACAGGCGTGTACCACCCGGTGCCTGGAGGCAGGGCCACTGCAGCCTGTGGTGCCAGGGATCAAATAGTTTGTCTTCTCTTAACTAAGTTTCCTGCTTCTTTAGGGAAGAGTCTCAGAGCATTTATGTGGAGTTTGTTGTGTCTGCTCTGTTCCCATTAGGAGTTCTAACCAATTGTTGTGGATGAATACGTTTCTGCTAAATCAGTGGTTGTTTTGACTGTAAAATGGCTCTTTTCTCTTAGCTGTGTCGTTTTTATTTGATGAATGCCAGGTGGAGAGAGAAGGAGGCTCTGTGAACATGCTGTCAGCTGTCCAGTGAGGGCCTGGCCAGGGAGACTTCTTCATCTTACCTTTCATCACCACTGGTTATATGAAGGAAAACTTAGGTGGTTCACGAGTCACTTAAATGAGGCATACACCAGGACTGAACTGACCCTGTCAGCCATGTGGATAGAAAAGACAAACCCTCCTTTCCAGAGGCCCCTCCAAGCCAGCAGTCTTGAGTCTGCTGTGAAGGGGGGAAATCTGTATCCTCAGGATAGAACTTTACTGGGTGATGTTCAGTCCAGGCCTCTGGGCCTGGGTCCCCACAGGACTCAGATTTATCTAGGTTTTTTCCTCAGAGTTTGACATGTGGATATCCTTTTAAGCATGGGTCATCGTAAAACACACTTCCGCCCAGATTGGCAGTTTTTCTTCATTCCTTAGGAGTCAGTCTCTGGTAGTCCAGCCTGAGTTGAAGAGATTGAAGTATTAAAAAGTCCTGCATTTGGGTCTTCATTCAGGCCATAGTTCTTCGGACATGCAGCTGTCAGGAAGGGTGGGCCCTCAGGGCTCAGGACTGGGAAGGGTACACAGCCTGGTCCTGCCCTCCTCTCTGTTGCAAGGGCTTTGCTGTCAGGGAGTGTTAAGAGGGTCAGGTGGAGCTAAGAGGATGTGCTCTGCCAAGGGCTGCAGCTAGGTGATCCATGGCTCTGCCTAGAAATGAGCTGGTGTCTACCAACACTGTGGGCCTCCTGGTTGGGGCTGTGCCCTGGAACCCAAGGTTAAGGTGACTCAGTAGTGTGGGTACAGTTTGTTCTACACACACCCCGCTCTTTTCCTCTGTCCAAAAGGGATTTTATCTGGGGGGTACCCACAGGGATGGACCTTTCCAGAAGTGTGCAAGGCCCCTTGGGGCACAGTGGGTGGACTCAAGGTGGAGTGCTTGAGATGAGCTTCTGGCCACTCTCACTTTGCCCGAGTGAGAATTGTGCGCTGTATCAGGCAGCATGGGGCCTCTCCCTGCAGCCCCCAGACTTCCCACACGCTTCCATGATGCAGCCCCACAGAAATGTGGGAAAAGATGGAACCGGAAGGCACACCCAGCTGGGGGGATAGCTCAATAGAATAAGTGCTTGCACAGGGCCCTGAGTTCATTCACCAGTACTGGGAAAAAAAAAAAAAAAAAAAAAAAAACGAAGGCATACCTGAGCCTGTTACTTCAGAAGCCTTGATTAGCTGTGGAGAAGATGAGAAGGCAGGTACCTGCCTGAGGGGCACACTGTGTACAGTTGCCCTTTTGATGGTCAGGCTCTTGTGCTGTTGGAGGTCAGTTCTGCTGGGATCCTTGTCCAAGTACAAAGCCACAGTCAAAACTGGAGCCTAGCCCCGAGTAGCCTCTCCATAGGCCCCCATGTCTCTCACTTCCTTGGTGGCTCTCTCTCACTGGTCTTCTCACATTTCGCCCCGGAGAGAAATCGAAACAACCTCTTCAGCTCTCCTTCAGGTCTACCCACCCCTAGCTGGGCTGTGAGCAGGGACTCCTGTGGTGGCGGTGATGTCAGTAGCACATGCCAAGTTGTGAGAAGTCAGTAAGGATGTGTTGGCACATTTCACATGGTTGTGATGTGCAGATGGTAGGCCTGTGTCCATGGCCTTGTGCCAGTTGCAGCTTTCCTCATGGCCCACAGGAGCAGGGTTTGACCTGGACGGAGGAATAGGCTAGGAGATGCCTGGCCACCTGCAGGGACGTGAGGTAAGCTGTCTTGCAGCAGAGGTAGAGACAGGCAGAGAGCATTCTGGGTCCCTGAGTGCCCAGCAGCCAAGAGACCTGGCCACTGTTGGGCCTGGGCTTGGCTGGATAGAGGATACTGGTTCTTCCCTGTGGGCTTCCCATTTCCCAGTTTGAGCTCAGGAAGGAAGTGATCATTAGAAGAGTGCTCGGCTTGGAACTTGGCTCTGTGGGCCCTCCTTTGTCCCCACAGAAACACGCTGCAAGCAGGACATGACGTCCCCCACCTCTGCACCACCCGCACCCTCCACACCACCTGCACCGCCCAGCCCCTCGCCCAGCCCTGTGCCTCCGAGCCCCTCCATGCACAGGTACAACGTGAGTGGCAGTAATGGGACCTGCCTGCTGGCTAGCATGGGACTGCAGCTGAACATCACTTACCCACGGAAGGACAACACGGTAGGAGGATAGCTTTTCCTACAGAGGGTGTTTTGTTGGCAACAGTCTGCATTGGTGTAGGATGCATGTTTTCTTCTGGGTATGTTAGCTCAGAGCTGAAGTGTCATTCTTCTGCTTTCTCTAGACCATGGCCAGAGTGGTTAACGTCAACCCCAGGACAGTCTCTCCCAAGGGTAGCTGTGGTGCCCAGCTGGTGTCTCTGGAGCTGAGTGAGAAAACTCCGGAGCTGAGTATGGTCCTGGTCTTGCGCTTCGGCTTGGTGAGGCTCTGGGCTCCTCCTCACCAGGCTTCCTATGTCAGGACCCCTTCATGAGGCTGCCGTCCTGCTACCTTCCCTCTTGTCTTGGTGGGCGTTGGGCCCGAGCCCTTCCTGCTTGCAAGGAGCACAGGCTGCTGCAGGGTGCCGCCGAATGCAGTGACGGTGGGAGGAGGCGGCACTGGGCTCTTGAGCTCTGGTGGGCAGCAGTGCTCTTCTGCCCTGCGCTAGCCTCAAAAGAGTCAGGTGTGGAGGCAGCAGAAGAGGGAGAGGGTGCTGCGCGTTGGGGGTGTTCATGCGTGGTGCGGGTGAGCTGGCTAACAACTTATGTTTAAGTATTTGGTACAGGGTCTTGTGATGCAGCATAGACTCATAATGATCCTCCTGTTTCAGCCTCCCAACTGCTGGGATTACAGGTGTATACCACCATACCTGGTTTTGGCGGCTACACAGTGTACCCGGGGTGGGGCTTGGCATGGCATGTGGTCGAAACCAGGTTGTTGTGCTTGCCAGGCAGGCACTTAGACCGCTGAGCTATCTCCCCTGCCCCAGTTGGTTTCTTGAATTTCAACTTGCCTGTATCGATCAGTAAAAGCTTGCTGTTTTTATAATGTGGCTCCTATAGTGCCTTTTTCAGCGCAAAGTCTGAATCGGTGAAAAGGCTTGGAAGGAACCGAGCGCAATGTGGTGTCGTATAGGTAGGACGCCATGCAGCTTTCTAGAGTTAAACACAGGACGTCAGGTTGATGCCTTGCAGCCTGCCAGGGTGACAATGCATGTGCCATACTTGAAGGCAGGCAGCTCAAGGCCTCTTCTCTTTCAGAATGCAAGTGCCAACCGGTTCTTCCTGCAAGAAGTCGATTTGAATATGACTGTCTCTGATGCCAGAGGTGAGCCCCGCATGCCTTGCCTCCTATCCGGGATCGCATGACCCCTGCCCACGATGGCCTGAGGTGATCAGACCCTCACCTGTCTTGCAGAGGCCAGTTTCCATGCCGCTAACAGCTCACTGAGAGCCCTGCAGGCCACTCTTGGTAACTCCTACAAGTGCTCAGCTGAGGAGCAGCTGCGTGTCACACCTACCTTCTTCCTCAACCTCTTCGGCGTGCAGGTCCAGGCTTTCAAGGTCGAAGGGGACAAGTTTGGGTCTGGTGAGTACACTGCGGGCTGTATTTATGGTGTGGTGATCAGCGGTGCAGCCTATAGGCCTTCCTGGGTGCTGGCTAGCCATGGGAATCCTCTTCTACAGGGGGCAGTGAGGCTGTGCAGACAGTTCTTCACTTCAGAAGGGCCTGACATGCCTGACAGGGCAGGTGGCAGCCTCCATGATGTGGTCATGCTCTCGTTCCAGAGGGCCAGCTGGTGGTGGGCGTAGCTGGCCTGCATGTCCACCCTCAGCTAGGAGAAGAACACCTGTCCCTGTCTCCTGCATGCAGCCTCCCACCCTGGCACCCCTTTCTTCCCCCTTGCCAGGGAGGCCTGGGGGGCAGGTGGGCAGTCGGGTGGGCCTTGGAGTGACAGCGCCCTCCACGTTGCAGCAGAGGAGTGTCTGCTAGACGGGAACAACATGCTGATCCCCATCGCTGTGGGTGGCGCCTTGGCAGGGCTCGTGCTCATCGTCCTCATCGCCTACCTCATCGGCAGGAAGAGGAGTCACGCGGGCTATCAGACCATCTAGAGAGGGCAGCAGGGGTATGCCGCAGACACTGGGGGCGGGGCCTCACGTCCTGTGCGTGTGTGGCGTGGCGTGGCGGGAGGCACATTTTCTGGCAAACTGCTCTTAAATCTGCTTACAAATGTGAAGTTCATCCTGCAGCATTTACTATGCACAAAGAGTTAATATTGAAATGACGGTGTTAATTTTGCTAACCAGGTTAAATATTTTGCTAACTGGTTAAATGTTAATATTTACCAAAGTAGAACTCTGCAGAGAGCAAGAGTGCTTATCTGAATTGGCATGGGCTCCACTCATTCAGTGTTTTCAAATTTGGTGTTGGTTCTTTTATTCTTTGCTCAGATTTAGGCCTTGCAGGTGTCTGGTCTGAACACGGTGGACTGATGGGGTGGCTGATCCCTAGGCTGGCCCCCAGGTTGAGACCAGCAGAGCAGTAAGCTCTGTGGGCACTGGGGGCGTCTGCAGGCAAGAGGGCCAGGCCCAGTGTCCAGGTGACCTCAGCGTCCCCGCTCCAGCCGCCTAGTAGCTGCACTTGCCTAGGTGTCGGAAGGGCATTATTTCTGTTCCCTTGTGATGTGGCTTCTGGCCTCTGGTGGCATCCAGTAGCCCTGTTGCACACCGTACACGGATGGCCTTGCTCTGCTGGTGCCTCTGCTGTGCTCAGTCGCTGGACAGAGCCCAGCTCTGGGGTGTACTGCCTGTAACGACGCTAATAAACAGTCTCTTTCTTTGTGTGTCTGGACCTGGTGCTTTTGTCAGCGTTTCAAGCGCCCAGGATGGTGTGGACACAGAGCCGGGAGAGGGAGGGAGGGAGGGAGGGAGAGAGAGAGAGAGAGAGAGAGAGAGAGAGAGAGAGAGAGAGAGAGAGTGAGTGTGTGTGTGTGTGTGTGTGTGTGTGTTGCTCCCCACTGACCTTGGGCTGCTCTGCCCTGAAGCATGGTGTGCACTGTGGTCTCTGCAGGCAGGTACCTGCCAGAATCAAGAGCGGCTTCTCCTCAGCACCGGCCTCTCACCTGGTCCCCAGAGCAGCTTCCACAGTGTCAGCGGCAGGGCTGGTCTCTTTCTCAGCACTGCTCTGCTCCCCCCAGAGTAGGCCAGGCCCTCAGTTGTCAGGACACAGAAAGGGGTGGGGGAGAGACACCCAATATGCTGAGATGAGGGCTGTGCGGGATGCAGGTGCCCGGGGGAACAGAACTGCTGCCAGGTGCCCAGAGCTTGGCTCTCTGACCTTAGCCTGATGGAGAGGCACAGTAGTGCCACTGGCATGTAGTTAGCCAGAGTGGGCTCCATGGCAACTCATAACCCACCACCCATCCCACCCCACCCAGGGGAGACTCGTGTCTCGTCAGAAAGCTGCCACCCTCAGTTTGGACAGGATGGGCACCTGAGCCTGTCAGGAACATCAGCATGTGGGAAGGGCCTGGGGTGGACACCTTTTGAGAACTGTATTTCCCTTGGCAGTGCCAGGGGCTATTCCAAGACTCCAGGGAGCAGGGACATTGGACAGGGCAGGTTCACCCTCAGCTAGCCTGGTCCAAAACATAGTACCTGGGTAGGAAGAACCCTGTATGCTGTGACAAGAGGGAGGGTGCAGCCCTCCAGGGTTCAGTACAGGTGCCTCAGAGGATCAGACCTGTCACCAGGCCCAGACTGTGGGCCTCCTGTAGTGACCAATGGCTTCTACGGTGATAGGGGATGGCCTTACTGCAGAAAGGCCTGTCCCCAGAGCAGGGCTACCACAGGGATGGCTTGCCAGATTGATGGGCATGAGTCACCATGGGAGGCTACTAAGTGCCCGCCTGCATCTGAGACAGTTGAGAAGCCTACCTCGTAGGCATATGCCACAGGGACCAGCAGATGCAAATTGGTATGCCGGAAGGTCAGCGTGGGAAGGGGGTTACCATGGGCCGAGCAGGGTGTGTGGACCTGGCTCATCCTTGCCCCACCTTCCCTGCCTATGCTATCAGCCCCCACAGGGCTCGGCCTGACCCCGCAGGAAGCTTCCTGTCCAAGTGCAGGTGTCAGTCAGCCCAGTGGCCAGCACTGCCTGTCAGGACAGGCAGGAGGAAGCCCCAGCCTGGTCCCCCACTGGTTGCATACGGACCCTGGTCCCTAACCCCAGGTCCGATGCTCACCTGTCCACTCAGACTCAGTCATTGAAAACTGCTAAGGAAGTCGTGCTGCAGGCACAAGCCACAGGCAAAGATAGGTGCTGTGCTTCAGGGAGCGGAAGTGTTGGCATGGGGAACACAACAGCCACAGCTGACAGTTGCTAATCAGACTCACAGTGCCAGAATAGTTTATTAAATAGAAACACATATCTCACATTTTGTATATTACTGTTTTAAGGGACTTAGGACTTACTAGGTAGTAACAGAAAGGCTATAGAATGCCGTGATTTTTAAATCACTTTTTAAAAAAACACAAGAATAGTGACTTCAAGTATTGTACAGCACTAATGGAGGCAGTAGACACTCCCCAGGGGCCTACCCTGGCAGTCAAGGCTCCTCCCAGTACTGGGAATGTAAGGACACTGTGGGGGACGTGGTCACCTTTGTGCCAGCAGTGCTGCCCGGCAGTTCTCACGGAGCCTGGTGATGGTCGTCATGGACAAGCTCCCAGGTTCTGAAAATACTTTCTGGAAACAAAGTAGAGTTCGTTTCAGAGTGAAGTAGTCCAGTGATCTTTTTGTCTCTGCTGTCCTGACATTGCTATGGCGATCAGTGGATGGACAGACGAAGGCTACAGGCTGGGTGCACAAGAGACCCCGGTTCTGTGGCCTGGCTCTGCCATGTCTGTCTGTGTTACCCAGTTGGGCCCAGAGGAAGAGACTGTGGGCCTCCTGTAGACCTAAAGTCAGAATGGCACTTAGCAGGCAGAAATTCCAGCTTTCTCTGCAGAGCCAGGCCATGGATTCTGCCTCTCCTAGGACCAGGGGAGTTTGCCTGCCTACAGCACAGCTGTGTGGAGGGGGCAGGAGCACAGACAGGTGGGCATGGATGAGGAAGGGGTGAAGCTTTTTCCGCCTAGGAGGTGAGGGCCCTCTGAGGGAGATGATCCCTGCTTGGTCTCCCAGAATCTCCAAAGTGATAGCGGTCTTGTTTTGGGACAGTCACCTAGCATCATTCCCACACATTTGGGTAAGCAATGTCTCTGCCCCTCCTGGGGACCACAGTCATCTGGGAATGCACCAGATGGCAAAGCCTGAGTTATGTCCACCCTGCTTCTGAGAGCTTTCCTAAGGTCAGGACAGCCCCCAGGAATAAAGAAGGGAAATGAGTTTTGGTGGCTCTTTTCTGAGCTCTGAGGTAGGAGTCAGAGCAAAGGTCCGGACCACATGCAAACAGCACCAGCCTTTATCAGATTCAAACAAAGCTACACCTCTGCCTTAGCCTGTAGACCCTGTTTAACTTAGAATATGGAAGGATGGATCCCCATAAACTCCACAACCTAGATGGAAGGATTGGGCCAGGTTTTACCAAGCACCTCACTGTGGCCAAGCTTAAGGACACTGTCTGGGTCTCTGGGGCAAACCTGTTTCTTTTAAGCCCCGGGGGACACTGCCATGGAGGCTCCTGCTGGGTGCAAACCCCAGAGAGGAAAGGACAAACACATGCCGGACTCTGGCAGACACTTGGGGGGCTGGTCGAGGGCCTCGCAACACCTGTCAGAGGGCCGACTCACCAGGGAGATGAATGACAAGTCCACGTGTCGCATTAAGGGACTCAATCCTTCTGCTTCATAAGCTACCACCTGGGCTTCAAGGTGGAGTGGACTGGCAGAGACCCTGTGGCCTTGCCTAATCCTGTCCTGGGCCCTCACTTCACTTTTCTGTCGCTTGTTTTTGACCCGTTTTGTTTGATGTGGTGTTTGTCTCTTCCAAGCTGCAACACTTCTTATTTATTTTTGAGACAGGGTCTCGCTATACAGTTCAGGCTGCCTTGAGCTCACTTTGTAGCCCAAGCTGGTCCAGACTCACAGCGATCCTCCTGCCCCAGCCTCCCAAGGGCTGCAATTACAGGCATGTGCCTCCGTGCCCAGCAGGCTGCATCTCTTCTGTGTTAAGGGCTGGTCCCCAGTCTCTAGAGCAGCCTGGCGAGGACTTCTGACTACTGCCAGGCAGGGCCAGCTGCCCCAGCACAGAAGTGAGGCCTTTGGCAGGCAGACCTTGAGCCTTCAGCTCCTGGACATGAAGGGTGACAGCAGGGATGCAGCTCCGTGGGATAGCACTTCCCTAGCGTGGGTGGGCCCTGCCCTGGGTTCAGTTCCTGGTGCACACACACAAATGATCAAGCCGGGAGTGGTGGCACACACTTGTAAATCCAGTCCTCAGGAGGCTGAGGCAGGATGATCGTTGTGAGACCAGCCTGTGCCACACAGTGAGCTCAAGGCCAGTCTAAACTGCATAGTGAGATGCTGTCTCAAAAAGGACAAAACAGCAAAAAACCAAATGACTGAAAGCAGAGTAAGATGTGGGAAGCGAGAGGAAGGCCCAGTGCTCTCACAGGAGCCTTTGGTGAGCCCCTGTCAAGGAGAGCACCCTGCTCAGGTACACTCAGAGCTGGGAACATCAAAGGCCTCTGTGCCAAAAGCGGCCCACAGCCAGTGCTAGGGATCTGCCTTGAGGCGGGGAATGACAGCAGCGGAGAATCACCAGAAGCCCCTGTCCCAAGACCTCCACTTACAGGGACAGCTGAGAGCTGCTGGCATCGAAGCTCGGGGCCGTTAATACTTGATGGCCACACACTGCCAATCCACAAATTCTGCCCAAGCCAAGCAAGGACCCTCACACTGGGAAGTCCCTCAGGAATCACCCCCTTTAGAGGCCTGAAGAAGAGAGGACAGCTGTGACAGCCAACAGCAGACTTGAGAACCTGCATGGACCTGATCTCTCTCTCACTGAAGCTAGGGACCCATGTGGGCGTGATAGCACGCCTGTGGAGCCCCTGCCTGTGCCAGCTGGGTGCAAGACTCTTCCCCAGAATGAGCCCAGGCAGAGGATCCGCCACCCTGCACAGACTGTTCATGCAGAGGGGAACCAGCATGGGTTTTCTAGCCCAGCCCACTGCTCTTTCTGAAACTACCACCTGCCGGCCAGAACAGTGCCCTGCACCACATACAGCCCCTGCCCCTCACTTCACCAGAATTTGTCATCAGCTTAAGAGAAGGGAGAGTGAATCAAGCCCTGGGGCCTTGGCAGCGTAATGCCATTTGGCTGTGAGCTCTGCTTGCAGCCCCACCCCCTCCCAACACACACCCTGCCGTCCCCACAGCCCCATTTTCCACATGCCAGGTCCTCACTCAGTCTGCCCCTGGCCTGGGGCCCCACATCTCGGGGGCCATAAAGGCCAACCCCTCTGTTGGAGCTATGAGGGAAGCCACCAGTGCAAGGGGCAGGACAAGACCACCAGCTAGAGATGGCAGCCAGGAATCCTTTTGATGAGGCTCCTTGTGAGGTCAGGCCTTATGGACATGACACCACAAGCCCCCAGCCCTGGGGAAATGGCAAGCCAGAGCCATGTTCTGCCTCTAGCACTCTGACCTGGCCTGCCAGCAGGTCAGGCGGCCTTGGGCAGGGATCTTGCTGGTTCGCAAATGAGCAGAGCCGGGGCCCTGTACTCCACGCTGACGATGGCCATGGAAGGAGCCCTCCTGTGAGCAGCAGCAACCCTCACACACCTGCATGAACGTGTGGCACTCCATCACGAAGCTCCCGCTGGTAATCTGCTTGAATTTGTCACAAATGTCAGGCACACTGGTGGCTTCCAAGATAAATGCTTGGTGTTGTTTAATCAGGGTCAGGGCCACCCGGAAGATTATTTTGGAGCCTTCGTTGAACAAACAGTCCCAGATGCGAAGCACAGTCTGCAGGACAGAAAACCAGTCACCTACTCAGTGGCCCCTGCCATGCCAGGGGTTGCCCTTGTGCTCACCTCCACAGGCAGGATGTCTACAAACAGGCAGATGAACCAGCGGGACACCACCAGGGTCCACAGCACACCATGCCCGTCCAGCAGGGCCGCTACCGCTGGCAGCTTCATCCTTACCAGCTCTGCAAGGACTTCCTGGTCCATCTTGAGCCCCAGCATGGCTGGGCTATAGTAATCTACAAGCAAGGAAGGAATGGTGAGTGGTCACACCACACGCTGCACACGCCACCTGGCCAGGCAGCCTGTGCCCCACTGAGCCAGGCGAGGGCCACAGGGCTCCCTCAACAGAGGAAGGCAGTGTGACCAAGAGGAGACTGGGCCAGGGTAGAGACATAGTGCCAGGACGGGACACCCACAGGTACCAGAGGCAGAAGCCAGATGCCAGCTACACAGACCCCTGGTCAGCATGGCTGCAGGGATGTCTGCACAGCCACGTCTGCAGCAGCACTACTCACAACAGCTAACAGGCGCCCAGCAGCAACAGATGGGTAAACAGATGCCCTTTTCCATGGGGAGGACAGCGTCCAGCCTTAGGAGTAAGCTGCGACCCAGGCCACAGCACAGGTGGGCCCTGAGGATCTCGTGAAGTGAAACATGCAGGTCAGGAAGTGATAAGTAAATCAAAAGGGGTCAAAGGTAACCACATTAACATAGAAACGGCAAATCTGCTGGAAGACAAAAGGAAGACAATTCCTGAAGGCATAGGCAAGGTCTTCCTGAAGAGAACTCTAGTTGCATAAGAAATAACGTCAAGAGTGAACAAATGGGGGCTGGTGAGATGGCTCAGTGGTCTAAAGCACCTACTTAGAACAAGCTAAGCCAAGCAAAAGCACAGGGACCGCGGTTCAATCCCCCAGCACCACATGCCAGCCAGCCCCGCCCCCTGGTGGGCTGAGCTGGCCACACACACACACACACACACACACACACACACACATAAATAAAATAATAAAAAAATAAAAATTAAAAAAAAAACAATGAACAAATGGGATCACGTGAAGAAGCTTCTGAATAGCAAAGGAAACCACCACCAAAGTGGACATCCACACAGCGGGGAAAACTGCCTTCCAGCTACTCCTCGGACAGAACCAACTTCCAGAATGTATAAAGAACTCCAAAAAAGTAGACCGCCTCCCAAATAAATGGCTCATTCAATAAAACAGACGAGAGGCCAATAAATGTTTTAAATGTTTCAACACTGCTGACCATCTGAGAAATGCAAATTAAAATAAACTGAGATTCTACCTACGCTAGAAAGCAAGGCTATCATCAAGCTAAATAATAAATGCTGGTGAGGCTGTGGGGAAAAAAGGAGCCTTCCTACATTGTTGATGAGAATATAAACTAGTAAAACCATTGTGGATTTTGTTTTGTTTTTTGCGGTACTGGGGATTGAACTCAGGATCTTGCACTTGCCAGGAAAGTGCTTATTCTATTGAGCTAACACCCTGGCCCTACCATTGTGGAAATTAGTGTGGAGATCCTCAAAAACCTGAAACTAAGAATTCCATTCTGCCCAGCTGGTCTCCTAGGTGTCTTCCTGGAAGTCGAAAGACATCATACCACAGTGATGAGTGCATGCCCACTGATCGCAGCACGGCTCCTGCTCGCTGCATCCTGGAAGTTGCCCGCATGTCCACCCGCAGATGAATGGGCAAAGCACGCGTGTTTACACACGCTGGAGTACTACTCTGCCACACAGCAGGGCAGAAGCAGGTGCACTGGACAACATACTGCTAAGTGAAACAAAGCAGACACACAAACATCACATAGCTTCCCTTAACAAGAGACCGCAAATGCAAATACAGAGCAAAATAAGAGCTACATAAACAGAGCTGGGATCTGAAAACATCGTATCATAGGGATATATGTGTGCCTATGTTTATAGCAGCACAATTTGTGATAGCCAAATCTTGGAAACAACCAAGATGCCCATCACCTGAGGAATG